GCCAGGCCTGGGAGACTCCTCCTAAGGGGAGGTCGGGTCGCGAGCACAAGCCTGGCTCCTGGCTCTGCCCCCCGCTCGGGCTGTCCCCGGATTCTGGACAGGCCATGTCTTCTGTCTGACCAGAAAAAGGGAGCCTCGGTCTCTGGCCTTCTACTTCCCCGGGACAAATCTCAACTCCAGGTTCCAGGGAAACCCGGTCACGGTGGCGGTCGGGCGCCAGGGTCCCCAGTCCTTGCTCTCTTGGCTGCCAGGCCCCCAGTCCTTCCGCGGCAAACCCTGGCACTCCGCGCCCTCCGGCCTTCGGGACAAGGCCCGCGCTCTGCCCCTGGCCAGCCCCTGGTGCCCTGGTCACCCTCCTGCTCCTTAGGGTGGGAAGGGAAGGGAAGGAAGGAAGGGAAGGAAGGGAAAGGAGGGTAGGAGCAAGGTATGAAGGGCCACCGGGTGCCTGCGACTCGGGCCCTGGGCGGGGGACCCGGAAGAAGGTCCTCACATTTAAGCAAATAGTTCCTGGGGTGGATGGGCATTTCAAAAAAACCTGGAAGTGCTCGCTTCGGCAGCACATATATTTAAACAAATCTGGAAGACAAAGAATAATAAATAAAAATATAAAAAGATCTGGAAGGACAGATACTGAGGTGTAACAGTTTCCAGGTAGCTGGGATTGCGGGTGTTTTCATTTTCTTCTTGTGGCTTATCTATATTTGTCTAATATTTCAGTAATAACTTTGAATTGCTTTTAAAATTAAAAAATCGATTTCAAATTGAAAATGAGGAAATAAATATCAGTGTCCGTCTGTTCCTGTCACCTAGCTTGGGACCGTGTGCTATGGAGGGAGAGCGGGTGGCCTGGGGATCAGAGAGGCTCGGCTGAGGTCCCGTCTGCGCTCCTGACCAGGCAGGCGAGCTATGGACCAGGAGACGCCTGAACAAACCTTTTTCTCCTCTGAATGGGAACGGCCGTACCCCGGTCACGCGGTGGCCCAACAGTTCTGGGTCAGGTGGGCCTGGGTTCAAGACCTAAACTCTCCCCCCAAAGTCCTTTTTGCACTTTGAACAGATTACTTCTTTGGGTTTCAGTTTCCTCATCCCTAAGACAGAGATGACGAGAACACGCCCCGACTCTTAGCCTGGTTGTAACGCGAGCGACATAATCGCAGTAAAGTCCCTGGCCCAGGACGGGGCACACAGGACCGTCCCCGGAAACACGAGCCATGTTGAAAGTGCCTAGCAAGTGGCAGCGGGGCTTCTTTTATAAATGTGATTCCCTTCCCTTCCTCGCCTTTTCCTCGATGGCAGCAGAGGGCACAGGTGCAAAGGGCGGAGCGCACGGGGGGGGGGGGGGGCAAGGAGAGCAAAGAAGGAGGGAACCAAAGGCCAAGGGCTCTTTGTCCTGGGTGATCCTTAGGCTCCTCTGCCATCGTGTCCCTGCCTCATCACCTTCTCCCGAAACAGGGATGACCCTGGTCCCTCTGGGAGCAAATGAAGCCGACAGACCAGTCTCTGTGGCCAACCCCTCATGAAGCCCACCTGTCACCTGCTCGCCTGGCTCCGTAGTAGCCTCCTGCCCCACAAGGGACTCCTAGAAGGCCACGCAGGGGAGAGGGAGGACTGCGTGTGAGAAGCCACGGGGTGAGCCTGGGGTGCTGGGCACTAGGATTCGGGGTCGTCTTCCTAGCAAAACCAGACGACCAGATCATCACCTCCAGGGGAAGGACTGGGGAATGGCGGTTGCTTCTGAGAGGCGTCCTGCACCCTTAGCTGTGAGGACACACAGGACGTCCAAAGCCAGTCCTCACTTAAACTTCTTGCCTCCTCTGCCCATAACTGGGTTTAATTTGGGGACGGGTCTTTACTTGTGTTTTCATGGAGTTGGGGTATCCCGCCTTCGGTGGCCCCAGCATGGCCTCAGTCCCCGCTGTGAGGGTGGAGGCGTGGCGGGCTCGGGAGGGCAAGCACCTTTGGCCACCCTGAAGCTGAGATGGCAGAGAGCAGGCCTTGCGTGCCGCTCGCCCGGGGAAACTCTGCTGTCTGGACAGGAAGGCCAGGGAGCCCTTGAGCCCCTTCCTTCCAGGGCCCTCGTGCCCGCCTTCCCCGGTGCTACCCTTGAGCCCACAGCCAGGGCTCCCAGGACTCCCAGAGCCGTGGGTCCATCCTGCCAGTCGGAAGGAGGCACTGGCTGCGGCTGGGAGGACTCTGGGTGGGGAGAGACCTCAGGCGCACTCCTAGGTGGAGGGCCACCCCCTCTCCTCCCCAGAGGGAGCAGGTGTGGAGTTCAAGTCCCTGAAGGTGGGACTCTTCTATGCTAAGGGACACCCCACCGACCCCCTTCCCGGGTCTGTAGAGCCTCTGGCCCCTTCTCTTCCGTCCCCTCCGCCGAGGCCACAGGGATCAGGGATCACAACTGTGGGGAACAGATTCTTGCTCATTTTCTAGCCAAGGAGTTTGAGAAATGTGTGGGGCAGAGGCAGGAGGTTCCTGAGAGGCCTGGGCTGGGGCACTGGGTTAGGGGAGTCAGAGGAGCTGGAGAGAAAGAGGGAGAGAACCACAAATGAATGGGGGAGGGGAGGAAGCAACAGCTGGATGGAGAAGGTGAACGGCACAGCTGGAGGGGGCTGGGGGCAGCAGAGGGCAGGGGGAGGCCCTCACCTGGGCGTCCTGGAACAGGTGCTCGCAGCCTGTAATCCTCAGGTGCAGCGGGCAGAGCGCGGGAGGGGAGGGGAGGGGAGGGGAGGGGAGGGGGGCGGAGGGGAGGGGGCCGCTGGGCGCCTCAGGCCCGGTCCTCCCTTTCCTTCCCGGAGGGGCCCGAACTCTTCCTCCTCCTTCCCTCTCTCCCTCCGGGAGGATGAGTGGGAGGAGAGGAGGATGTTCTCTTGCCCGCTGTCCTTTACGTCGGTGCCCCCGCCGTCCCCCCACCCCCACCCCCACCCCGTACGGTCCTTTCCAGCCCCGGAGGCCCTCTGGCTCCCGGCTGGGCCGCGGCGTCCCTCCGCTCCGTCCCCCCCCTTCCCATCCCCACGGGCGTCGGGTCCAGGTCCCCGCTTCCCCCGCCCCGCGGCCTCAGCATCCCCGCACCACCCCACCCCACCCCGCCACCTCGGCCTCCCGACCCTCCCTCGGCGCCCGGACCCCGGGGCCCGGACCCCTCCCTGCCCCCCGCCCCCCACCTCGGCCAGGCTCTCACCTCAGGGGCTCCGCGGCCGCAGCACAAAAGGCGGCGCTGCTGCAGCTCGGCTCCGGATGCTGCTCCCGCCTCCTCCTCCTTCTCCTCCTCCTTCTCTCCTCCCCCCGCTGCCCTCGACCGGACCCGGGGCGCCGTCACCGGCGAGGCTCGCGCGGCGTCCGGGGGCACGGCTGTCGGCCCCGGCGTCCTCCCCCCACCCCCCGACCCCTAGCCCCGTCCCCCCTCGGCTCGAACTCCCGCTCCTTCCGAGGCCCCCGCCCCTGGCCCCCCGGGACGGACACGCCCTGAGCGGGGGATGCTGCGCTGGAGCCGCCGGCCTCTTAAAGGAGCCCGCCGCTGCCATCCGGCGCGCTCCAGGCCCGGCCCCGGCCCTCCGGGGCCCCGCGCGGCCCCGCGCCTCCCCGCAGGCGGGGTCGGGTGGCCGTGGCACCTCGAGCCTTGCGCTGGTTCCCGAGGAGCCCCCCGCGGCCGGTCGGACACCCTGCCTGCTACGCCCCGAGACGGAGCCCCTCCGCGCGGGGACCCCGGCCGCCCAGCGCCCTGGCGCGGCTCCCCCTGCCTTGCCGAGCCAGCCAGCCGCCCTTCCCGTCGCCGTCACCACTCCGGCTCTGCCCAATTGGAACCCGCCGAGCCTAATGCCCGAGCTCCTCAGCGCCGTTCCGGGGCTCCCCCGGCTCTCCACTACCTGGCCCAGCCTCGGGACGCTCGTTAGAACCAGGCATTTTCGTGGTGTCTCGCCAAGGTCACGAGATTCTCCTACATCTTTTAACCCGGTGGCCGGGACACCCTAGGGCCGAGGGGCTGCAGCTCTGCACCCAGTTAGCGGGTTAGCGTTCAGAGGCCGGAGTCCTCTCCTGCTGTCTCTTCGGCCGAGAGACCCCAGACCCACAGCAGCGGGAACGAGACCACGGTGTGCGTGAGTCCTGAATGCTGTCGCCCCTACAGCCCGATTCTCAGGCCCCAGAGAGGGTCTCGGGCCACCTACGGAGAGGTTCCCCGGGGACGGCCCAGCAAGGCTTTAGAGAAGACCTGAAACCACACAGGCTGCGGGCTAGACCTAGGGGCAGGGCAGTGAAGGGCAACCCGGGAAAACGAAGCAGGGGCTGTGAGACGAAGGCCCCGGCGCCGGGAGCGAGGAGGAACTGCGGGCCGCGGGCCGGCCGGCCCCAGCGCGGAGGGGCTCGAGCGCTCTCCTCCCGCGGCCAGGTGAGGCCACCCCCAGCCCGCGCCGAGCCAGGGTGCGACAGCCCCTCTTCCCTGGACCAATCGCAGCCTTTCCTCAACAAAGGGGCGGGGCCGAGGGGCTGCCTCGCTCCTGGCCCCGCCCCTCCAGGCAAAGTAACCAATCGCAACGTGCCTAGAGCGAGCCAGCGCAATCGGACACGACCAATCCTATCGCGGGGCTCTCCGCGCACGCCTGCGCCTGCCCCTGCGCGGCGACAAAGATGGCGCGCGAGCTGCCGGGCTCTGTAGTTTCCTCGGGAGCCTGCGGACCCGGCGCTCCGGTTAGGCCTTAGCGCCCCGCCCCCAGCCGCTTCCGCTCTGCTCCCGCGCATGCCCACTCCGGGGAGCGGAGACGCGGAAAAGAGGCGGGACGCTATTTAAAAAAAAAAAAGAAATCACACGCACGGACACACGGACACACGGACACAAAGCCACCCTCCGCTCGGGAGGCCACCGTGGAAGGCTCCGCTCCTCCCAGGAGGCGGTGCCGCATCCCCGGGCAACGCCCGCGGGGGCTTGTGGGGCGGGCGGCTCCCCTCCCGATGGAGACTCGGGGAGGCGGGTGGGCGGGGGACTCCATGTCCCGGCATGCCCCGCGGCGGGCCCGACCGGCCGCGACTCGGGGCTCGGCCCCGGCCCTAGCTCGTCGGCGGTGTTCTGGGGCGCGCGGAGGCTGCAGTCACGGTGGGGCCCGCGGGCACGGAGGTGGGAATGAGTGAAGAGGAGCAGGGCTCCGGCACCACCACGGGCTGCGGGCTGCCCAGGTGAGCCGCTTCGAGCCGACCCCTGCCGGGCGAGAAGCGTGGCGCGGCGCGGAGGTGGTAGCGGCGCGGCCCCAGCATGCACCTGGCCCGAGGGTTGTTCCCGGCAAGCACTGGGGTAGTGGGCCGTGGTTCCCGGCATGCATCCCGGCAGTGGCCACGGCCTCCTGCTCTAAATAGTTTGGGGTTGGCCCGGTTCCCAGACTGCTCTTGGGGCACTGGGCTTTGTGCTCCCGACATTCAGTGCGTTTGGTGGGTACCGGGTCCCTGGGCTGCACTGTGTGGGGACATGCACCTCCTAACTGCACTGGGGTGCAGGATCCTCCTCCTGCTTAACTGAGACAGGAACAGTGCGTTGCCCGCGTGCTCTGGGGGCCGTGGACCCGGCTTCCAGCCCGCTTCTACTCCACACTGAACCCAGCCAATGTGTGCTGTACTGCCCGGGGTCCCCTGGACCCGTGTCCCCCATAGTGTGCCTGGGTCTGATACGACAGTGCTTGGCCGGGTGGCAGTGCTTGGCAGAGTTGGAGGTGTGATAAGGGTCCGTGACCCCCTGCCCCCGCCTCCCCCAGTATAGAGCAAATGCTGGCAGCCAACCCGGGCAAGACCCCGATCAGCCTTCTGCAGGAGTATGGGACCAGAATAGGGAAGACGCCCGTGTACGACCTTCTCAAAGCCGAGGGCCAAGCCCACCAGCCTAATTTCACCTTCCGGGTCACCGTTGGCGACACCAGCTGCACTGGTGAGGAAGGCTTGGGCAGCCTGGCTGGGGTGTGCATCCGCAGGGCCCTGATGGCTTTGTGTCCTGGAGTCTCTCCCCAGTCCTTTGCTCCACGGCCAGTGAGGGAAGGAGAGATTTCAGGGGGAAAAGCCACGGACTCGTCTGGGGAAACGGGTCTTTGAGGAGGCGGGTAGGACTCCGGAGAGTTAGAGGAGCAAGCGGGACCGCCAGAGGGGTCTGGCGCATTGTCGTCATCCTAGAGGGGAAAGACGGGATGAACCAAACTCTCAGCGAAGTTTCGAAGGAGTGAGTGCCTGCTGCACTGGGCTCTGTTCCAGGTGCTTGACCAAATTCCTAGTTCGTCTTAAATCGCAGTCTAACCCAGGGATGTGGGGGATAGTACGTCCGTGCTGAATATGAGGGAGCCAAGGCTCGGGGTGGATGTGAGTGGTGCAAGGTCCCGGGCCTGAGAAGTGGCGGAGCGGGGCCTTGACTCCGGAGCCTGCCCTCTTTCTACTTTCCCAGTCATCTCTATGTATTGAGAGAAAAGAAAGCCCTTCCCAGAGGCAAGGAGAGCCGGGAAAGCATCTCTGCCCAGGGTGTCTGAGCTCCAGAGCAGTCGTGCCTGGCGTGGCTTGGTTTGGGGAGCCCTGGGGAGCAGAAGCCCTCCCTTCTAGTAATTAGCGCAGCACTTCCGGTCTTGGGCCGGGGCAGGTGGTGAGAGGGGCCTGGTTGACTCCCTCCAGCCCTGAGGAGAGAAGCTGTGGGTGCCGGCTCTTCTGTCCTCCTAGTGACCTCCAGTATCGCCCACGCCCCTCTCTCAGGTCAGGGCCCCAGCAAGAAGGCAGCCAAGCACAAGGCAGCTGAGGTGGCCCTCAAACACCTCAAAGGGGGGAGCATGCTGGAGCCGGCCCTGGAGGACAGCAGGTGAGGGAGGACCAGCCGAGGCCTCGTAGAGACCCGGCCAGGAACCCAGGCCCCTGCGCTACCTCCTCTGCCCACCTTGACCTGGCCGGACAGAGCGGGATGCTTCCAGGGCTCCCGCTGTTGTGAAGGATCCTGTGGGGGGAATGTCAAGGGGCTGTGGCTGTGGTGTGGGCCCAGGCTAGGGAGGGAAAGGGGCGGAGGCTGAGGCTAGAGGGGTCGCACCCCAACATGCCTCCTCTCTCTAGCAGGTTGTCCTCCTCTCTTGCACACTTACATTGGGGTTTGTTGCCTCCGTGGCTCTTGTGTAGGAAGAGACCGTCTTTCCCCTTGTCTCAGTCGCTTTGATCCAGTGTTTGGCAGCAAAGGATCCCAGAAGGCGGTGGTTAAGCTTCCCTGAGTCTTTGGCTCCAGTGGGAAGGGGTTTTCTTAGGGGATGGGCAGGTCAGGAAGACCTGGGTCCCCACCCTCTACTCCCCCCCCCCCGCCCACATGGGTGTGAATCAAAGGCCCCCTTCCCCTCGGGAAGTTCTTTTTCTCCCCTAGACTCTTCACGGCCTGAGGATATTCCAGTTTTTACTGCTGCAGCGGCTGCTACTCCTGTTCCATCTGCTGTTCCAACCAGGTATCTTGTGTTCCTGCCTGCCTGAAGGGGGGAGGTAGGGGTCCCGGCTCCTGGCCCCCCAGCCTTTGGACCCAGGCTGGTCAGGCAGGAGGAAGTCTGAGAGTAAGCAGAGGATGGAATAGTTGGGGACCAGAATTTGAAGACTTTGCACCAGTTGGTAAGCTCTTGGGACAGGAGGTAATCCACGATTCTTAAATAGCCACAGAGATGACATTTGGCCATGGTCAGGGGGCCTGCAGGCCCCATTTTCTCCTGAGTTGGCCACATGATGTCCTGTGTGTGCCTCCCATCAGGTGCCTCCAGGGACTGGATATACAGCCCCCCTCCCACTGTCCTGGCAAGGCGATGGTCCGGTGTTCCAGAAAGTCCAAATGGGCCTGGGCCCTGGAGGAGACCTCACCTGGGTGGGGAAGGGAGGAAGCAGGCTGGGTGTTTGCATGGACAGCTGCCCGCCTGGCGGGGACCAGGGAGATGGGAGCGGGGACACCGGCGCAGGGCGTAGGACTCTAGGCACCGCAGAAGGGACAGCCCCATGGACTTCGGCCCGGCCCTTCCTCCTTCAGGAGCACCCCCATGGAGGCGCAGCCCCCCGTCTCCCCTCAGCAGTCTGAGTGCAATCCTGTTGGCGCCCTGCAGGTGTGCCCCCGGCCTCCGTCGTGTGCATGCCTGTCTGCCCTTGAACCCGGGCCGCCAGGGCAGTTGTGTGGGGCTCTTACCCGGTCGGAGGGCTTTTCCCACCCCCTTGATTCCCCCAGGGCGGGAGGGAGGGGGCCCGGGGGTCTGTCCTCACTCAGCCTCGTGCGCCCCCGTTCCTCCCTCCCAAGGAGCTGGTGGTGCAGAAGGGCTGGCGGTTGCCTGAGTACACGGTGACCCAGGAGTCCGGGCCGGCGCACCGCAAAGAGTTTACCATGACCTGTCGCGTGGAGCGTTTCATTGAGATCGGTAACTGGGCAGACGGGAGCGTGGGCAGCTACGCCAGCCCAGCCGTGGCCGCGGCAGCTCCTAGCCCCTCTGCTACCCCCCTTCCTGCTGCCCGGGGCCCGGGCCGTGGCAGCGCCAGAGGGCTCTTTCCAGTGGACGTCCCGCGAGGGGGCCCCCCGCCCAAGGTCCTGAGCTGGGTGGAGCCCGGGAAGCCTAGTGCAGCAGCCCTCTCCCCCACGCAGGCAGCGGCACTTCCAAAAAGCTGGCGAAGCGGAACGCAGCGGCCAAGATGCTCCTTCGGGTGCACACGGTGCCCCTGGATGCCCGGGATGGCACCGAGGCAGAGCCCGATGACGATCACTTCTCCATCGTGAGTGGCCTGAGGGGCCGGGCGGCCGCTGGGGGCCTGGGCCCGGCGTGTGGGATGAGCCGACGCGGGGGCCCCTGCCCGTGCTCCTGCTTGGCCCCTGGCTCCGGGCTGCTGGGCGCGCTGGGCGGAGAGCGAGGAAGGCTGCGGGGCCCCGGCCGGCCCCGGTTAGCGGGTGGCGAGGGGGAGGCAGGCTGGCCAGGCGGTCACCCGCGGGCTTTCTCTCCGGGGCGTCGGGGGTCTGTTCCACGCCCGGGTCTCAGCCCGAGGCCGCACCTTTCTCACCTGCCCGTCTCGTCAGGGTGTGGGCTCCCGCCTCGATGGACTTCGGAACCGGGGCCCGGGCTGCACCTGGGATTCTCTGCGAAATTCCGTGGGAGAGAAGATCTTGTCCCTGCGCAGCTGCTCCCTGGGCGCCTTGGGTGCCCTGGGCCCTGCCTGCTGCAGTGTCCTCAGCGAGCTGTCCGAGGAGCAGGCCTTCCACGTCAGCTACCTGGATATCGGTATGGCCGGGGAGGCGGGGGCTGGCGGGGCCTGGGCCCGAGTGGGCCTGCGTGGGCCTGGGGCCTGGGGAGGCCTGGCGACCGGGTGGCGCCGCGCCCGCACTGCCCTCCGGCCCATGAGCCTCCGTCCTCTCTCGGCCCCCAGAGGAGTTGAGCCTGAGTGGGCTGTGCCAGTGCCTGGTGGAGCTGTCCACGCAGCCGGCCACCGTGTGTCACGGCTCCGCGACCACCCGGGAGGCGGCCCGTGGGGAGGCTGCTCGGCGCGCCCTGCAGTACCTCAAGATCATGGCGGGCAGCAAGTAGAGCCCCCTGGCCTCCCCCGGCTCCCCACAGCCTCCACCCGGGCCGGCCTGTACCTCCGACACGGACTGCCTGCCTGCCGGGAGCCAGGGCCCACGGGGCCTCGCTGGCCCGAGATCCGCCCCTGTCCCGCGGCGGGTGGGAATGAGGGGGGGCGTCCCCTGGAGCCCAGAATAAACGCGCTGCCTCTGGGCTTCTGCCCGTTGGTTCGGTTGGTTCTTCCCGTGTGCGGCCAGCGCGGGGGCGGAGGGCTTGGCGGCTGCCCTCGCTGTGCTTCGCCCTCGTTCCCCACGTGTCCCCTCGCTGGCCCTCCTGGTGGCCGCGGCCCGGTGCGGTGACCTCCAGGACCCCGCGGCCGTGGCCCTGCTGAGCCGCTTTGGTGGCGACGGAGGGGGTAGTGCTGCTTGCCCTGCGGACTCCCCGCCCTTCCCTTTGGAGCCTCACACAGACGTGCATTCGGGCGGCAGGCAGGTTTACGGGGGCGCGGGGTAGACAGGGCGCTGTTCGGCGTGAGCCCCGCGCAGACGTACGGAGGGATGACGTCACTTCTTCCCGAAGCGCTGAGGGGCGGCCGGGCTCGAGAACGGGGAGCCCGCCCCTCCCGGCTCGGGCTCGGCCGCCCGCCGCTCCCGGAGCCCCGGGGTTCCCGCCAGACCTTGGGGAGGTCCTTCGGGCCCCTCGTCCCGGAGCCCCCACCCTGCCCGGGGCGGGCCTCCTGCGGGGGGGGCAGAGGCGGCGGCGAATCCCAGAGGAGCGGCCCCTAACTCCCCGCGAGGGCCCCGGCCGCCCGGCGCAGCCCCAGCCCGGCGGCGGTGGGGGTGGAGGTCCCCGACGGCGGCAGCAGCGCGGCCCGAGCCCCGGCCCGGCCCGCCCGAAGCCTGCGGTTCGACTGTTAGATGCGTCCGTCCGTCGGCGGGGCCAAGCGGCGTCGCCCGCTGCGGGCTCGCTCAGAGCCCGGCCTGGGGGCCTGGGGGGGGGGGGAACCTCGTCCCTCGGCGGGCGCGGACGGGCCTGGCCGGGAGGGCGGCGGGGGGCGGGGGGCGGGGGGGGCGGTCGCCGCTCCCGAGCCGCCGGCAGCGAGGCGCTGCTGCCCCCCGGTGGCCACAGCTGTGCACTGGCGCCGGGCGGCCGCTCCCCGAGGTGACGGACCGGAGGGCAGGTGGCGGGAATCGCGCCCTTTCAGGGAAAAGCCAGGCCCTCGCGGGCGGCCACCTGCGCCCGCGTCGCTTCCCACCCGACTCCCGCCCGGCGTCGCCGCGCCGCGCCCCGAGCGCCTGAGGCCCCGTCTGGCGACATCACGGCGCGCTCGCGGCTCCCACGGAGCTCTGGGGGGGGCGCGCCCAGCCCTTCTCTGTTCTCACCTGAGGCGCGTGGCTCCGCGGGGGGCACGCGCCGGCGCCTCGGTGCGCCTCAAAGGCTGTGACCGGTCGGCGACTCGGAGGCACAGGGCGCTGCGGTGTGCGCCTCCCGGCGCCTGCGGTCAAGGACGAGCGGCCCGAGGGTCCAGCCGAGCCCCCACGCCCAGGACGGAGGGGACGCGTCTCTCCCCGTAGCTGCAGGCCCGGGCCCGGCTCCCCCCGACGACGACCGCAAGACGCCGTACCGCAGGGGACCCGGTGAGCCTGCGCCCCGGGGCCCCAGGAGTCAGCTTGCGCCGCCCGGGCCGTGAAGCGCACCACAGCTTTCCCGCTGAAGAAAACGTGCACACCCAGATTTTGAAATATTGCTTAAAAATGCTAACCATCACCCGAGCTTTTATTTGACTTTTTAAAGATTTTATTTCTTTATTCATGAGAGACCCAGAGAGAGGCCGAGACACGGGCGGAGGGAGAAGCAGGCTCCCCGAGGGAGCCCCGCGCGGGACTCGATCTGGAACTGGGATCACGGCCTGTGGCGGACGCTCAACCGCTGAGCCCCCAGGCGTCCTGTCACCTGAGCTTTCAGTGAGTTGTAATCAAAAAATTTGGGCGGGGGGGGGGGAATCCCTGGGGGGCTCAGCGGTTGTGCGTCTGCCTTAGGCTCGGGGCATGACCCTGGGGTCCCGAGATCGAGTCCAGCGTCGGGCTCCCTGCAGGGAGCCTACTTCTTCCTCTGCCCGGGTCTCAGCCTCTCTCTGGGTCTCTCAATGAATAAAGAAATAAAATATTTACAAAGGTTTTTGTTTTGTTTTTTGATTTTAAAGTAAGCCCCACACCCACCGTGGGGCCGGAACCCAGGATCCAGGGCCCCGAGCTCCACCTCCCGAGCCACCCAGCAACCTGCGGCTGTCATTGCGCCGCTGGCGGGGCCCTGCCCCCGGGGTGCTCGGGCCCAACCACCGGGCTGTGCGGTTCCTTAAAACTGACCATGAAGTTGGCAGTGGGGATTGGCTCTTCCTGTCCCGGGCCGTTTCTCTGGAGTGTGCGATGCTATGTGACGGCTTTTTACCCGCAGAATTTCCAAAATTTTCTGGAATCAAACTTCTCAAATTCAGCTGCTGCTTTATTGTCTGTAGTATTGTTTTTTTGTTTTTTTTTTTTTGTAAGATTTAGTTGTAAGTCGTCTCTACACCCGGCGTGGGGCTGGAACTCCCAGCTGGCAGATCAGCAGTTGCCCACTCCTCTGACGGAGCCGGCCGGCGCCCCTGTAGTAGTCTAGATCCTTCGTCATTTCTAGTCTTCACGGCACCTGCACTCGGAGACCCCACCTCCGGACACCAAGCTCTGCTCATCTACAAGAAGCAACTCGTTTGTCCCAGTTTTATCCCCAGACACAACGACCCCGTCCCATCTGCAGGCCCCACCTCCAAACGGTTCTGCTGTTTCCCCCACAGCTGCGGCTACTTCCTCCACTGAAGTCTTGTACCTTCGATTTGTAAAAACAAAACCACACGCGCGCACGACGTGCGAAGGGCAGGGGTGCGGTGCGGTGGAGAGCGAGGCCCGCGGTGCGGGTGGGGGGCCCCCACGGGTCTGTGGCCTGGGCACTGGCCCACCGTTTCCCCTCGCCCCGTCTCAGTCCGGCCTGGCGGCGGCAGCAGCTCCCACCATCCCTACAGCGCAGGGCAGACCGCTGCTGCGGCCCCACTCCCCTTGTGCCAGTTAGGGACCCCAGCCAGCCACAGAGCTTCCAGAGCCCCCTGCCCTGCCCGGGCTCCTCAGCCTGCTGCCTGTCCCCACCGTGCCGGTGATCCAGGGACACTGCGAGGAGCTAGCAGTGGTCGCCCACCCCTCACTCCCACCTGCTCCTGAGCAGGCTCCACTTTCTGCACCCCAGTCCTGCCCGAAACTTCCTGACAGTCGGGCTTGTTTTTGTTTTTATCGGAAGTTGGGGTCATAACACTGAGAGGCCGCTTGCCTTGGGACCCGTACCATCCCTCATCCACATGGGGCGCCCGGGGCTGGGGGGGGGCTCCCAGGACACCGAGGGCCCGCCCCCGGGGCGCACAGATCCGAGGCCTGGTCTCTGTGCCCTCTTGGGTGTTACGTGACCTACACAAGCCACCTACCTTCTGAGGCTGTGCCTTCCCTGCATAAAAAGGAGGGACAAGACTCCTGCTCCCGTTCCTAGGAGATGGGAGAGCGGGAAGGGCGCACGCGAGAGCCCGGGGAGCTCCCGGAAGGGCGGCCAACGGGACGTGCAGCGGAGGGTACCGAGGCACGAGACGGGACAGTGGTTCTCCTGATAGTTTAATGTTATATTTGCAGCATAAATAAGGCACAATATATGTCAGGGCGGGGGGAGCGGGAGAAGGCCTGGCTGGGGGGGGGGGACTGCGGGGGGTAAGGGGGTTAAGGGGAGGGGAGCCGGAGCGTCGAGGGGAGGACCGTGAGAGCCTGCTCTCAGGGATCGTGCAAGGAAAGGGACGAGACGCTCTCGGAGCAAAACAGCCTGTAGCTCCACAGCCTCCCGCACGGGGACCGGGCCCAGAGCCGGGCTCCTGTGCGACGGAGACGTGTCGCTACCTGTCCAGGATACACAGATGAAGAGAGCGAAGCAGAGGTGCGCGCTGCTTGCTTCCAACACATACTATGTCCGGAGGCGACAGCCTCCGCTGTTGGGGCTGGAGGCTCATCTCCCTGCTGGAGAGGGGGTGCGGGGGGGGGGTGCACGCACGGGACAGCAGGGGCTCCAGCCAGTCCTTCCTGCAACAGAGTGTGGAGTGACCCGTCTGCAAGGGGACAGGGGACAATTCCCGTCCAGACCAAGGCAGAACAGGTTTCAGGAAGAAGTAGAAGGAAGACAAACAGATTCTGAGATGAATGACGCGGTTGTTGTTCTAATAGGGGTGGAGGGAGGGACCGGGGGAAAGGGAACGATGTGTTCGCGCTAAGGCAGAGGCTGGTACTGAAATACCCCGACGCCAGCAAGGATGTCCCGGCTTGCCCCTATGGCCGCGGCGAGGGCCCCACGCGCGAATGTGCCTTAGGATCCCGCGGGGTGCTTGTTAGAGCCCAGCCCGAGTTTCCGATTCAACAGGTCTGTGCTGGGACCCGAATGTGTGCATTTGTAAGAAGCTCCCAGATGCTGGTGCTGCTGTGCTGCTGGTCCTGGACCACATCCTGAGGCCCACCACCCTGAGGGAAAGTCAGCGGAACCAGTGCTCACAGCCATTCCTTACGGTGAGAACGTCACCCACCGGTAGCTGCGGCTGGCGAGCAGCTCTGGGCTACCGGCCCCCCGCCCCGTTACAAGAAGAAAATGAACCCCAGCAGCCACAACACAAACCTGCATCTACAAGAGACGTAGCTGCCCTTCCCTGCCCTACTCTCCCCAGCCTGTTCTCAATCTGGGGTAGCACTTTACCCCAAAGAGAGACGAATGAACCGGTAACAGAGGCTGGGAATGGTGGCCAGCAGCCTATGCCCATTCCTGCTGGGTCACCACTCTGGGGTGGGTGGGTGGCTCGGGGGGACTTCTGTCTGTGTGTACATGCGTGTGTGCAAACACAAACAGAGGAATATCAGTTGTACACTAGGAGGGGGATGATTAGGGTTGTGAGAGGCTGAAGTAGGATGAGGATCCTCTAATCTGCCTTAGGACCCTCACCTGTCCTGTTCCTCCCTCCGCCCCTGTCAAACAAAAGTCTAAAGAAAGCAGAAAGAGCATATCAACAAAGGCATATGTGATATAACTAGGAGGACTGGCTTCTAAACGGACTGGTTATGAAATTAAAGAAAAAAAAAGGATACATTTCCTTCCTGTGTATACAATGTACAATATTAATGAAAAATAATGATTTGGGGATGGGAAGGAAGTCACGAAAGAAAGAGGGCGCTTCTGGGGGAAAGGCTGTCTCAGGGCTAGCACCTTTAAAGGAGCCTCTCAGTGTGGAGCAGGGGAGGAGGACTATTTTGGCGTCGGCTTGGTGTAGACGGGGCATGGTTATGGCTAAGGACCCTGTCGACCAGATGGGTGGTGCTGGAGGGCAGTGAATCAGGACAGGCGCCAAGAACAACAGGACGGGCCCAGGGAAGGCGGCCGGGGCATGGGCTTCAGTTAGGCCATCTCCTTGTCACCACTGCCGAGCGTGTATGGTCTACTGCTTAGGGCCAAGGGCCAAGGGCCAAGGACCGGAGCGGAGGCTGAGGGAAGCCAGATTTGGGGTGTCCAGCCAGCAGGGGAAGGGTGAGCAAGGAGGGCCTACTTCTAGTTTTCTCTAGCAGCGAGGGAAGCGTCCTCAGACTTTCCAACTCCGAGCGAGCTTTCTTTCCAAGGAAGGAAGCCTGCAGGGCCGAAGACCCGGCCCGGTGCCTTTGTCAGGGCCTTGGTTACGTCCCAGCTGGGTTTCTGGAGCGAGGTGGGAGGCCTGCGTCTTGCGTTCCCGCAGCAGAGTCCCAAGGCTTCCATACTCCCAGCTCCTCTCAGAATCTTCCCTTAGGCCCCTAGGAGGAGCAGTGCCATTAAGAAGGGCTAGGTGACGCGCCCTCGATGTTTGGTTCTGGTCCCCATGAGCCTGGAAGCAAAGGGCAGGGGAGAGTGGCCCCAGGGCCAGCAGCAGTAGCAAGGTAAGACGTCCCCCAACTCGCAGGACACGCAACTGCTGTGCCTTCTCAGTGCGGCGCGCAACCACCTAAAGAGCTCTCTGGAGGTGCTGTCCCGCCCCCTCCTACTGCTGTGTTAGGTTCTGGGAACACCCCCCACTGAGAGCCCCAGTGAGAACTTCCTGATGAAAACAGAATAGGGACTCAAGAGAATGAGACATGGGGACTAAGAAACTAAACGGGAACCTCTAACTAGGTTAGCCACCGTACACAGGGACAGATAGGTGGGGCTCACCTCCTCCGGGGCCCCGCAGAGAGGCAGGGCGTGTGTGCAGTGACAGATGGGTTCCTAACTTGAAAAACACCTGACTACGGGGGGAAGAAAAATAGTCAAGGGTCTCACGAAGGCTCCTTGGGAGCCATAAACTCAGTCAAGCTTTAGGGCAAGGCTGCTGGTGGGAAATCAAGAAGATAAAAAATGAAACACAACTAAAGCAGAAGAGAGTCCCAGGGCGCCGCCTTCCAAAGGAAAAGTCCTGAGTACGAGTTACGGCTGGGCGCTGTTAAAGGCAAACGGAGTCCCTGGAGGTGGGAACTGGCATCCTGACCATCTGCCGTGCCATTTGCTAGACTGAGTCACCTCAGGGGCTGTTGCTGTTGGGTCCCGGGTGGTAGAGGATGAGAGAACCATGTTTTCTCTCCTCTCCCGTCACCAGGTGCGTCTTGTTCAGCACGGGCACGGAGAAGCAGGACGGGAAGTGGGAAAACAAACGCAATAGAACGTGTCCTCTGACCGGCTCACCGGCGCATCCACTCTGAGAAGATGGGGCTCCTGGAGCTTAGCACACCTCCTCATTCCCCCAGGACAGCCAATTTTGGAAGACAAGCTAAGAAAGGAAGCTGGCAGTTATCCTGTGTGTGAGTTTGAGATGGACGTAGGAGAGAGGGAGAGGACATGCCTGGCCCGGGCAGATGGCAGAAGGTGGCTCGGGGACAACTGCAAGGGAGTCACACTGACAGGCTATTAAAGCTGACCTACCTATCCACAGGCCTCTGGCTTTGGACGGCTTCCCACGGCCCTGGGAGAAACTGCGTAGTTCAGAGCCAAAGGAAGGTAAGAAGTCTTAATGGGGGAGAAAGAGGGACAAGAGGGATGACTTCCTCCCCCTGTAACCTAACTCCTCAAAGTAAGAATGGCTGAGGGCAGCAGTCCCCAATTTCCCAGGCAGGCCAGACCTTCACCAAGCAGGGCTCTTCTGAGATCGGTACTGCACCTCCTCTCTCTTGCCTCTTCCCATCCGACCTCATCCTCAAGCAAACCAACTCGGGACCCCTGGCTCTGATGCCTCTGAGTCCTAGGGCTGGCACTCTGGGGACACATGGCACCTGGGGGCAGGGGGCAGAGCGCCCAGCAGCCAGCCTAGAAGCCTGGTGAACGAGAGGAAGGAGGTCTGGGGACAGGGACACTTGTGAACCAAAGACCCTAGCCCAGAGGGGAAGACAGCTATGTGAGTCTGGGAGATGGGCGAAGGGCAAGGGAGTGCAAGAATGCCGCACACAGCAGCTCTGGAGGGCTACACCTGAAGAGAGACAGAGACGGTGACCCCCGCGACTCTGACAGGGGAACAAAGAGGGAGCGACAGAAGCAGACAGATTACCACAAGGTGTATGTATGCTTTGGCCAATAAACTCCTGTAAGACATAAAGAATCAATCCAGTAACCTGACAGAAAGAGCTTCAGACTCTACTGGTCCTGCCTGCCCTACTGACCCTGCGGGAGGAGGGCTGGGGCGGCGGGGGACCCGCCAGCCACACCTGGGCGCTTTCCCTTCGCATCACGAGCAGCTAGTAAGGCCACAAGATGGATCTCGCCAAGGCTCAGTGGCAGGTGGAAAAGGCCCCACCAGTAGACTGAGAAAACTCAAGACACAAAGTGAAGTACCCAAAGCTCTGGAAATTGCTGAAAAAGGACCAGAATTCTTGGGGTTTTGCTTCTTTCTTTCTGTTTTTTGTTATTATTTTTTTGTTTTTGTTTTTGGTGGCAGCTAGGGAGAAGGACTAAAGTTTACGGAAGAGCTGGAAAATACTGCTAATTCATCCAACAAAGGTAACTTTACATTCATCATAGGTGAATGTTTGAACTAGACTTCAGGAAGGGGGTAAAGGGATAAAATAAGCAGCTAATGGGAGACAAAGCCCTAAGCCCCTTAGGTGGCTGGGGCAGGCAAGTGGATGACCTGCCATCAACACTGGCCTCCCTTTACCTAGCAGGCAGTGGCGTGCTGCTAAGGAACAGGAAGGTAACAGCCACAGCTTAGCGGGAAGACAGGGAACTGAGAAACCCGAAACCTAGAAGTGCAAGGGTTAGTGTTCAAAGAGACAGGTACACATGCATGGGCAGGGGTGATTGTTCGGACCATCTGGAAAGGCCTTTGGCTGTGGGTACATCAGAAACTGCCCCCTTTAGGGGATGATCTATGTGGCTCTGGGGCTGGGAGGCTCTTAGTACGGGTGTCAATGTACTTGACCATGTGGCTGAAAAGCCTCACATCTGTCCATTCCTCACAACACACAATTTCCCCCCCATATTGCCATGTCCAAGGCAGATGGGAGGCGATAAGATGGCGTCTTTCTTGGCTCTCGGGCGGGCGAGCTCTGGCTGGGGACCTTTCCACCAGGGGAGGCATCATCTGCCCGCAGACTGGGACTGTGGGGTCATGATCACATGCGACTGTATCGGCATGCTCAGTTCTGTCCTTTGGCTGGCCATCTGAGTGAGGACCGAGGTGGCCACAGCTTCAGCTGCAGAGCGAACACTGAGGCCATTGCTAGGGGCTGTTGCTGAGCTGTGCTGAATCACAGGGGCTGGAGAACCCGTCGGCTCTGAGCTTTCCTTGGGGCTTTCTGCCAGGAAGGAAGGCAAAGAGCAGAGAGCAAATGGTTATAAAATAGACTGGGGAAACAAGCAGACCACACTGCGCCATAATTCTAAAGGAGCCCAAAGGAAAAGGAAGCCCATCATTTTTGGGGGAAAACTTCCTAGAATCTTAGCTTCTTAGCCATGAAGGGGCTAAGAAATGGAAGTTGTGAGAAGGGACCCCAAGAACCAGGCCCAAATTAATTTATCTGAGTAAAGTAACCCGCTTAGCACGTTAATTACACCGTCTGGCTTCTACATCTTTGAACCGTTCATTACCCCTACTGGCACATTTGGCTTTTTTTCATGTCTTGAAAGGTGATTTAAAATAGATCTTTTTTTTTTTTTTTAAGCTATCTTCTCTGATTAATTCCCACAAGAATTTAATCATTCCATCATTTTTTATGTTCCTTAAGTATGCACTTGCACCACAGGTAAACCTGATAAATATCAAGCTACCCTCAAATGAGGGTATGAATGACCAGTTCTTGGCCCAGGTTCAGTTAATACAACAGAGAGGCCTGCTGGATCCTCCTGTCATTTAGCTAAGCATTAATGACTGCAAACATTTCTTATGGGCTACGCCACTCCGGCTAAAGTGATGATAACATTTTGCTGATAAACACAAATATCTGAGCTGCATACAAAGGTAACTCTATGTTGCTCTGTAGTCAGGTTTTATGAAACATCGCATAGCCTCTACAGCTGCTTCAACGGAGGTGTGTGGACTAAATAAGAGCCAGTGACCAATGGTTGCATTTTTTATTCACTCCTGATGAATGTCTGAGTGTTCCTTCAGGATTCAGAAATCATCTCCTCTGTGAAGCCTTCTTTATTACACTCATGAAATTAACTGTCTCACTGTTGTGCTTTCAGAGCATACATTCACTTATTCATCATTCTACTGAGCATCTTCCACGTGCCAGCACTGCGGTATATGATGAATAAACCGGGAGCCCTGTCCTCAGGAAGCTCCCACTCCAGGGGTTCTTTGACTGGCTATCTGTGCTTACCTTATTCACAGACTGACAGGTTTATCTCCTCGTAACTCTGAGTCTTTCAGAGGTACAATGTATCATTGGCCTGCATCAAATACCTGCCACAGCCTCTACACCACACAGCAGGAACCAAATACATCTTTGCTATAACAAATAAGTAGTGTAATGGATTGACTGCCCCTCAAAAGTTCTTGAAAGGACTGAGCAGAAAACTTACTGTATATAGACTTCATATTGATGAATACTCAGTCCTTGCCTTCCTTACCCCATCAAAAGGAGCTGAAATGTCGATCACTAAACTTCTGGAAACACTTTCTTATCCTGGTTTCCAGAATGCTACACTCACTACTCAGCTAATTTTCCTCCTGCCTTCTTGGTGGCTCTCTGGCTCCTTTGTGGGTTTCTTCTCCTTTCTCTGACCTCAAAATGCTGGAGTACTCCAGAGCTTGGTCCTCGACTGCCTCTTTCTTTCTGTCTGTGTTCTTTCAATAATGAAACCATTTCATCTGGTTTTGTGGCTTTAAAAACTAACGACAGGCTGCTGACTCCCAAAGTTGTATCTTCAGCCTTTCCTCTCAACGGTGGGACTATATAACCAGCCTCCACGTGATACCTCGCCTGTAAGCCTAGCAGGTTTCTTAGGTTCAGCTTGTCCAAATCTGAGCTGCAGATACACCTCCTAATTCATTTGCTTCTATACTTTCCTCTACTTCAACTAATGGCAACTCCGCTCTTGCAGTTGTTCAGGCCAAAAACTTTGGTGTGACTTTTGATTCTTTTCTTATATACCACCGCATCTGGCCCATCATCAAGCCCTGTCACTCTACTTCCATTGAATTCGACGCCTTCTCACCACGTTCACTACTACCACCCTGGTCCGAGGCTCCACCACTTCTTGCTCACATGACTGCAACAGCCTCCTAAATGGACTGCTTGATTCTGCTGGTTCACTCCTGCACTCTCTAACAGAGTGATTCTGTTCAAATATAATCAGACCAGTCATGTCAGTCTTCTTCTAAAAACCTTCTAATGGTCCCTCACATAGAGTAAAAGCCGAGGTCCTCACCATGACTGATGATGCCCTATATAAAAATGTTCCCATTAGCTTCCTTACTTCATCTCCAACTATTCTCCATCCCTGGGTTCTATTTAATCCAGCCACACTGGCTAGCCTCCTTGATGTTCCTAGAACGTGCCAGGCGCACCCACTTTGGGTCTTTGCATTTCCTCTTCTTCCCGTTGGCAGTACTTTTCTCCCATATAAATGTATAGCCAGCTCCTTCACTTCTTTAAGGTCTTTATTCAAAAGCCACTTCATCTAAAATTTCAACCCTGCTGCCAACATTTCATATTCTCATTTTATTTTTCCTCCAAGCATTTACTCTTATCTAACATACCATATATTGTACCTATTTATTTTGCTTATTATCTGTCTCACCTACTAAAATATAAGCCCCTCAAGGGCAGGGATTTTAATCTAATCTATTTGGTTTTCTATTATATCCTCAGCATATAAAACAGTGTCTGGCACGGAAGAGGCTCAATCAGTATCTGCTTAATGAATGCATGTATCCTGAAGTACATATTAAAATTAAAATTTAAATAGAAGATGTTTAAAATGAGTGATGTGGTTACTCTTTTTCTATGGGAACACATCTTCGAAATAATAAGGACAGTTAGTGGAAAAATAATTCAATATATCAACGTTTGATAGCCAAAATTTCTAGGAATTTATTAAATTTGTAAAGGAAAATGATTCATTAGCTTTCACTGCCCATAAGCAAATTATTCACAGTCATTTTAATTTCAGGATTGTGCTTGTCCTGAGCACGACTCTACGACCATCTTTTTCTAGCACTATTTTATGTGTGCACATAGGTTACAAACTAAAACCACCACTGGCTCATCATAAGAAAGATAAATATGTCACAAAGGTTAACAAATGCCAATGTATCATCTGTTGTTTATATTCTCTTGAGGCCAAGATAGTGTCTTTGGAATAAGAAAGATCTAGATGTGAATCTTGGCTCTGCCACTCCACCAACTGTGTAACTTCAGGTACATGACTATTCTGAGTGGTTTTTCTGTGTATAAATGGAGGCAATATCTATTTCATGAAAGAACTGGGCAGATGGTATAGTGCTTAACACAAAGTAGGCACCTGATAAATATTGCTACCCTGTATCTCCAACTATGATAGATAATTAGGATAACTCTATATGGTTTTGAAAACAAAATTATTTTGTAGGACTGGCTGTTCCCGAAAGGTTGCTCACTCATCAGTCTGGACTCCCCACACCATTCAGAATGGGATTATAAGATTATCAACAGTTGAGACACTCATACATGCATTTTATTGACTGATTAAGCTTGCTTAGGTTGTGAGCCACTCACCTAAATAGCCTTGGGTCTTTTTCTGTAGTGCAGTAACTGGGCAGTCTTTATGAGCTAACAGTAGCTGTTTCAACTGAGCCACCTCATTGCGTAGCAACGTGACTTCGTTCTGAAGAGAGAGGGGAAAAGAAGAGCATCAAGAAAATGCATCCTCCACCCATGAGCCCCCAGTAGCTGTTCCCACAGTGAGGACAGAATGCTGCCTGGATTTTCTCCCCTGAATCTGGGAGACACCTGATCCCACAAGGCTTCAGACAGCTCAGGGCCAGTATAGTCATGAATTCAGTGACAGGAGCTGCTTACACTGAAAAGTAGGGATTTTTTTTTTTTCTTAAGATTTTATTTATTCATGAGACAGAGAGAGAGACAGAGAGAGAGAGAAGGAGAGGCAGAGATACAGGCAGAGGGAGAAGCAGGCTCCATGCAGGGAGCCGGATGTAGGACTTGATCCCAGGGTCCCAGGATCAGGCCCTGGGCTGAAGGCGGTGCTAAACCACTGAGCCACTCGGGCTGCCCAAATGTAGGGATTTATAATAGAAACATTACTCCTATTTAGGATAAAATAATCATACCAAAATTAATAATGCATATGTCCTTTGACTAAGAAAGCTTATTTCCAGAAATCTATTTAATAAAACTACCTACTCAAGTGCATACAATGTTAACTACGGCATTGCTGTTCTGGCAAAAAATTAAAAACATTGTAAAAATCTGTACCTTATAATACAACCACACTATACAATGTACTACCATACAGCTATTTTTAAAAAAATGAAGTAAATCCTTTATATACATTGTCAGATTTCCAGGGAATATGATCAACCTATTTATGTTAAAACAAACACACAGTCCCTCCCTGACTAGTCCATAAAAATTATAAGTGAAAAAAAAATTTACAAATACATATACGTCTGGTAGGTATACACCAAACGTATCCATAGGAAAGAGTAAGACTGGAAAAGACATACTGAAGAGGAACTTTGTTTTTGTTCTATACATTTGTGTGTGCATGTAACTATACACGTTATATACAGAAATATATTCATATATACCCTTGCAATGAAATATTTTAATAAGTAATCAAAAGAAGGGAAAATAATATTCAAAAAATATCTGGATTATTTTTTAATTTTTTTTTTTTATTTACTTATGATAGTCACAGAGAGAGAGAGAGAGAGAGAGAGGCAGAGACACAGGCAGAGGGAGAAGCAGGCTCCATGCACCGGGAGCCCGACGTGGGACTCGACCCCGGGTCTCCAGGATCGCGTCCTGGGCCAAATGCAGGCGCCAAACCGCTGCGCCACCCAGGGATCCCGATTATAAGTTTTCTATTTGTGCTCATGGGGTTTTTTCTTTTTTTAATTAAGCTGCATTATCTGGGGCAAATACATTTCCCTTTAGGTGTTCCATGACCCCAGTCAGATTCTACTGATGACCTAAAAGAGTACCCTGGAGCGATGAATCTAATTCCTTCCATTCAAATGGGTCTGTGGATGATTCAGACTCTAGCAGCAGGTTTGGGAGTAGACGGTGAGTGTCTTTTCCAACCCCTGGGGAAAAGACATCAATTTCGACTGTTATGAGTTTCTTTCTGCATTCCTCCTGGTACATCTTCTGGATCTGTCCTAAAGAATTACCATCTTCTGTTATTATATTGTTTCACTTTTTTCTGATTCATTCTCTTTCCAGGTTCATCAATCCCAATAATCACCCAGGACCCACTCACACTCAGCTGAATGTTCTGAGAAGTGAGTTCCTCTGCCTTCTTCTCTAGGGAGGACACCCAGAGCTTCCGCTTTTGACGGCAGCGGGAGGCTGCAGCCCGGTTACGCTCCAGAAAACGCTGCCGCCGTTCATCAGGATCTTCATCCACTGTGCGTCGCCTTCTCCCTCCAGTGCTAGGAGTGGGCTGGGCTGGTGAGACCTGGGGTTCAGGAAGGAAGAGGGGTTACCTGAAGGGAACTTTCCAAATTAAACCTGATGTCAGTTAGGTTAGTAAGCTCTGTTAAAGATCTGGTAAAGATGTACCAGTCTCTGCAACCAGAGCAAGACTCATCACTATGCCCCTGAGTTTCTTTTCTGTCTACCTCCCATCTCCTTCCAGTCTTCTCAGCCCCATACTAAGACAAGCCGCAACTCAGGTGGGAACTGATTATTTCTGAGACAGGTAGGGCAAGATGAAATGAGCATCACTTTTTGTTTCTTAACAAAAGGGAATCTTGTCAGTGGAGAAATCATAATGAGGGCTGGGTGTCAGGGGAACTTTTAAGGAGACTAGAATAAAAATATTTGAGATTCACTGATCTGGAAAACAATATACACACACAAACAACTGAATGCTACAAGTTTCAGAAAATGAGAAAAGATTTTACTACCAGTGAAATACTGGCTATCACAGAGAGATATGGATTAGTACATCCTTATTTATATCAGCAATCACCCTCTCCACCTTGTTTGTTCTGTTGGTTTTTATTTATTATTTTTAATATTCTGTTGGTTTTTAAACAAAAAACCATTTTTAATCCCTTTATAATTGGTGATATAAAACTGCCTTTAGTCTTTAAACTTGAGGCTGATGTTCTCTGTCACTAAAGTACTTCTGGATCATCCTCCCTTTCTATTAGCTGGTATGTGTTCAGAGAAGATAGACCAACTTTATAATAGCAGCCAAACTTAAAATGCAGAAAGGTCAGCCATCTGTATAAAAGAAACTATATAATGTAAAACAATGCCAAAAATAAATTCTTCCTGGATCTGTTGCTATCAGAGAGTATCTGTATTAGTAGTTTCCAAGAGCCAAAGCTCACATCAGTTGCATGAGAATAAGCATAAGCTTATAAAAAACAATCTTATACTCTACTTTAGGCCCTACTAATTTATGTTCTCCATTAATACAGATTATCAGGGCAGCCCGGGTGGCTCAGTGGTTTAGCGTTGCCTTCAGCCCGGGGCCTGATCCTAAAGACCCGGGATTGAGTTCCACATCGGGCTCCCTGCCTGGAGCCTGCTTTTCCCTCTGCCTGTGTCTTTGCCTCTCTCTCTCTCTGTGTGTCTGTCTCTCATGACTGAATAAATAAAATCTTAAAAAAAATACAGATAATCAAGATATAATTTTATTTATTTACATTAATATTATCTCTCCCAAAAGAAAAAAAAAAAGAAGAAATTTAAAACTCAATTTAATGAGCTGGAGGCCCTGGGTCATTGCTTCTTACTGTACCATGGGAAGTTCATACTAATTCTTCTGAGATTTTCAATTTCCTCTTTGTCCTGAGCTCAATGGAGCACATGTAAAGACCGGTGCTTTAGGGGAATGGGGAAGGAAAACAGTAGGTTCCTATTCTCTCACAGTAAACTCAGTAGCTTATGCAGGGAATAGAGGCGAAAGAGCACCAAGAGAAAGAAGGGAAGAATGAGAAAGGAATCAGCAGTGACTAAAAAGGAAGTCATGTCATTTTCTTAAGAGGGACAGCAGTACAACACAGACAAGGTGGCTACTGCTTCCACCATCTCCAGGGACTGGCACCGGAAGGGGTTATAGGAGGGAGGGCAAACTTAGCTTGCAACAAGAAAACTCAAATGAAGGCCTTTTTTGTTGGCCAAGCTTTAAGGCAGCATATGGCCACTAAATGTTAGGACATGTGGTGGTAACTGACGAAGCAGGTGGTGACATCAGAAAAAGGGGCTGGACAAAGATTTAATTCTAGAAACCCATCTCAGGTTGTTGTCACCTGTCCAGCGCAGATACTATAAAAACTAAGGCCTATTTAGTTTTCAAAAGCTTATGAAAACTGAGGCTTCCCTGAGAGAAGAACAGGACATATAAATGGGACTGCTCTCGCTTTATTAAGACTTTCATTTCTTTGTGCTAAAAAGGGAATAAACTGGTAAGGAAAGATATTTTATTATGTCTGCTTACTGAGCCATCTTAGTACTGTGACATCACCTTTTACTAACATATTGTCATTATTCAATGTTTGCTACAAAACCTAATTGGGTAAGTTTTTTTGGTTTTTGGCTTTTGCCTTTTTTTGGTTTATTTTTTGTAAGACTTACTACATGGGAAAGAGACTAGAGGAGCCTCCTTTGGTACATGAGTGGCTTGAGTGAGGGTCTGTCACATTTCAGAGGGTCCTGCAAATATGTCATTCATATGTAGAAAAAAACAAAATACAAAAATTGAGACCTCCTCTGTGCTAGCACTACATGACCCAGCTTGTCTGACATAAATATCACAGAAGAGTGGATAAAGACTGGTGCCTTTTGCTACTGTCAAACTGTTCACGAGAACCAGAGCACAAGACGCCCAGAAGACTAAACCTGCTCTTCTGTAATTTTTCTGCTCCTTGAAAAACAAAAATGACATAAGTAATGGTGACACAGTGGGCTCCCTGGTCCAAGGGCCCAACTCACCTGTGGCTGGGCAGGGGATGGGGCATCAGGGTGCTGGATGAGGATCTGGCTCTGCTCAGGACGGGCCGTCACCATGGTGCTGGCGGTACCTACCACCATTCCACATCCACCATTGATTGAAGATACCTGGTGGGTTAGGGTGGCTTTTAGTCTCTGTGGGGAAAAATAATAAAAAATAGCTTGTCAAGGGTGAGGTTCTATCAAAGGTGAGAAGAGTGGGCTTCGATTTTAATACTGACCTTACAAATCACTAAAATTTCCATGCCAACTTGCCCTTAACAGAGGAATTAAAAGAAAATGACAGGGAGAATGTGCACCTGGATCCCTAAAATGCCTACTCTGTTCCTTGGCTTTCATCCTGGGCACAGTTGGAGAGTGGGGGTTGTTGAAGTAATAGAGTCCAGATGAAAGCTCTCTCCTGGAACCCAGCCAGGTGCTGGTTACGCAGCTATTCACCTCTTGGCCAGCTCTCCTGCCCACTCATCCACCCTCCATCTGTCACCCTGGAACTGAAACAGCAAGCATTCCACTCCAAACAATCTGTGCTGCCTCTTTTCACTGCCATGGCCTATGTACCAGGCTCTAAAGGTGGAAGAGAGGAGATAGGAGTCATGAATCAGGGTCTTTTCTTCTCCAGACCCCACAACAGGGTATCTTTAGCTTTGCAAGCCCCAGAAAGTTTCTTTGCTTGGCTCACTTGAAAAACCTAGATTGGTAACACTTCTTTTGAAAGGGCCAACATTCCCCATATTGTCCCAAGCTGGGATGTACTCACCATCTTGGCTTCTGATGGCATAGGGTGGCCAGAGGGAGAAATGGAACCACTGCTGTTAACTGGTGGGCCAGGGATACCAGGAATGTTGGGCACCATAGACACAGGTCTGGCCAGCTGGATCAAGACAAGGAAGAAAAACCAGAAGGGAACATAATACTAGTGGTGAAGCAACAGCTTCCCAAAACGAAGTGCTCTGGTGGTTGGCATGTCAGGGCCTGTTCTATGCAATGTGTCCATAGGGTGTAGAGGGACAGGCTGGGAAATACCTTTCCCCGTGGAGCGCTGCAGGGTAGGGAATCTAATCCTTCAGTGCTGTGACAATTTCTAGGGGAACTGCTGGAGCTGTATCTTAAGGAAAGTGGTGGGCAATGTGGGAGGTGCTAAGTGCCAAGTGAATCAACCAATCAGCAGGCTGGCAAGATCAATTCCTAGACCAGGAGCCAATTGTCCAGATGAGTCTTTGTCTAGTGTTCCACAGTGCTGGACTGGCAGAGGTTGGTGAAGAGTTTAGGCAGGCTGCCATGCTCAACTAATACAGACCAGAGCCCACGTTTCCCTGGGACTCATGTGTGTTTATGAGCATTCAGGTGGAAGGGAGGGATTAGTGTGACGGTAGGGTTGGCTGCCCCAACTACAGAGCTCACCGATATAACAGAAGGCATCTGTACTGGAGGCCCTGGCAGCACAGGCATGGTCTGTCCATTAGCAAGATGCATGACGAGAGGGAGGGAGCCAGTGGGAGACCTGAGGAGACATGAAGTGAAATGCTCATCACACAGACCCTTTGGTCCACGGATCTTCATTCTATAATCACAGCAGATTGCCCAGGCTTCTCTAGTTAGGGAAGCTACAGGACAACACTGTAAAACCTTGATGCCCTCATGAAGGTGGAAAAACTAGGGAATGCTACCTACCTTGCCTTATAAATGCTGAGAAATGGTAAGATCTTTACACCTTGCAAATTAAGCAAACACCACTGAATTCAAATGGGTGGGAAGCTAATCCTATTAAGATTTCAGAACAATTAGGGCAGCCGGGTGGCTCAGCAGTAGCTAGCGCCTTCGGCCCAGGGCGTGATCCTGGGGTCCTGGGATCCCGGGATTGAGTCCCACGTCAGGGTCCTGGCATAGAGCCTGCTTCTTCCTCTGCCTGTGTCTCTGCCTCTCTCTCTTTCTCTGTGTCTCTCATTAATAAATAAATAAAATCTTAAAAAAAAAAAACAGATTTCAGAACATCTTTTTCTTTTTAAAGATTTTATTTATTCATGAGAGACACACACACACACACACACACACACACAGAGAGAGAGAGAGAGAGAGAGAGAGAGAGAGAGGCAGAGACACAGGCAGAGGGAGAAGCAGGCTTCCTGGGGAGCCTGATGCGGGACTCGATCCCTGGACCCTGGGATCATGAGCCAAATGCTTAACCACTGAGCCACCTAAGCGTCCCATTTCCTAAAGTTTTAAGGATTCTTCTTTTAGATCAAGGAAGTATTAAATCTCCAAATTAAGGAAGTATTATCTCTGAACAAATACTTGCCTGTCTACTAATAAGGTTTATAAAGGAAATTTCTGCTTATGGGGGGAAATTTTATTTTGAAAGACAATCTCACTGACTTGTATCCTTTGACTATTTAGAAACAGTCCCTGTCTTTTACCAAGTTTAAAAAGGCTCAGGCTTCACTGTTTCTCCCTGCTTTACTTACCCCAGTTGCCTGTTAGATGGTGGAGCCTGTGTGATGACGGAAGTTGGGGACGGAAGGGTTGGGTGAAGTGGGTCATAGCCCAAGTGGAGAGGCAGGGAGCCAGGGCGCACTATGGTAGGTGTGGGGGTAGAGATCACGACAGGCTTTGGGGTCATCTCCTGAGGAAAAGAGACCAAAAGATCACAAAACGCTATAAACGGCATTGTATAAACGGCATTGTATAAAGGTAAAATATAGTACAAATTTACTGGATAGTGACTCATGTAAATCACACCCTGACTCTATCATGATCATGGACCCATACTTCACTCACCCATTCTACAGGAATGCCGAGTTAAGGCTTTTTGGCTATCTCCCTTTCAGGGATGACTGCTATGTGAAAGAAATGAGAGTTGGAAAATATGTTGAAATATTTATATAAGCACTGTAGTGCCATGTAAGTTCCATATAAGTTCCAAGGACTGTCATAATTTTTCACAGGCTCTACATTCTCAATCCAAATTTGATGCCTGAGTGTCCTCTGATCTCTAATGAGAAAAGGCAGGGTGTAAGACTGGTGATAAAGCAACCCAATATGTTCTACAGACACATCACCCCACTTTTTTTAAGTAGCCTCCATGCCCAGTGTGGGGCTTGAATTCATGACCCCAAGATTGAGTCACTCACTCTACTGACTGAGCCAGCCAGGCACCCTCAGACAGATCCCTTTTAAAGAGACTATGAAGTTTGAATAATGGTCATGTTGTAATAAAACAAACTGCTTCCCACTGTTAACTTGTTTAGTATCTTAGTTGCTAGCAGCCACCCTGGTCCTCACGCACCTCTAGACAACCTTTAGGACCTGGTCCTGATGAAAGCGGGAGAGAGGAGGGACAGCTATAATGTTTATGGAGGAGGTGGTTTGGAGAAATTACCAAACTAAATTTAGAAAGAAGTAAAATGAGGTACAGATGCTCTATCCACAGTGGACGCTAATAATAATAACCCCACGTAGAGCAGTAGAGACTGGAAAGAGGCATGAGGGGGCTTCTGAGGTTCTGATAATATTTGGGTGCTAGTTACACAGGTTGTAAACTGTGAAAATTCAGTGAGCTATGTACTCACAATTCATGCACTTTTCTGTATGTATGCTATATTTCAGTACATTTATAAAAAAACACTACTTCATAAAAAGTTTCCTTTAAAAAAATAATACTCAGAATCCTAGTGGATTTTCTCTTTGAGACACTAGAAGACTTCCTTCTAAGGAGATTTTTTCCCCAAAATTATTTAATATCCAATTTATGAATTACACAATTTTTTTCCCCACTTAATAACTGAAGTACAGGGGCACCTGTGTGGTGCAGTCAGTTGGGTGGCTGACTCTTGGTTTTGGCTCAGGTCATGATCTCAGGCTTGTGAGAGCAAGCCCCACAGGCCCCAGGTGAGCCTGCTTGGGATTCTCTCTCTCCCTCTGCCCCTCCCCACTCCTGTCTCTCAAAAAACAAAACAAAACAAAACAAAACAAAACAAAACAAAACAAAACAAAAAAACCCAAAACCAAAATACCCCAAATAATTGAAGTACAACATACATAAAGTACATTATTCTAAAGGATACAACTAAATGACTTTATTATGTAAAGTCAAGACAGAGCCCATTTCCAGCACCCTAGAATGTTTTCCTATGTCCCTTCCCATTCCATACCTTCCCTTTTGAGTTCTATCATCATGAAATGATGCCTCTTCTTGAACCTGATGTAAACAGGTCCTGTGTGTACTTTCTTTTTTTTTTTTTTTTTCTGTGTGTACTTTCATGTCTGAATTTTGTTATTGTTTTTCAATATAATGCTTGTGGGGTTCACCCACATTGCTGTGTATAGCACTAGTTCATTCTTTTTTATTTTATTTTATTTTATTTTATTTTATTTTATTTATTTATTTATTTATTTTTAAAAATTTTTATTTATTTATGATAGTCACACACAGAGAGAGAGAGGCAGACACAGGCAGAGGGAGAAGCAGGCTCCACGCACCAGGAGCCCGACGTGGGATTCGATCCCGGGTCTCCAGGATCGCGCCCCGGGCCAAAGGCAGGCGCCAAACCGCTGCGCCACCCAGGGATCCCAGTTCATTCTTTTTTAATGCCATGTGGTATTCCATTTTATTTTATTTACTTTCAGAGAGAGGGGGGTGGGAGGGGGCAAAGAGAGAGAGAGACTTCATCAGGCTCTATGACCAGTGCGACATGGGGTTTGATCTCATGACCCTGAGATCACAATCTGAGCCGAAACCAAGAGTCAGATGCTTAACTGACTGAGCCACCTAGGCACCCCTAGTATTCCATTTTAGAAGTATACCACTATTTATTTTATTTATTTATTTATTTATTTATTTATTTATTTATTCATTCATTCATTCATTCATTCATTCATTCTCTTGTTGATGAACATTTTTTGACGAATGCAGCTATTATGAGCATTTTAATATGCTTTGATACAGTGGACACATGCACGAATTTCACTTCCATGTAGACTCAGAAGTAGAACTGCTGGGTCAGAGAATAGATATAATTTATACAAATCTTCTAAATAATGAACATTATTTAAATATAATGAATCCTGTATCACACATTATGCAACTATTGAATCAAAACTTAATCTACCTACCAATTAACATTTGGGATAATTTTTTTTCTTTAGGATTTTATTTATTTGAGAGAGAAAGCACGTGCAAACAAGCAGAAGGAGCCGAGGGAGAGAGAATCTGAAGCAGACTCCCCACTGAGAACAGAGCCCAATGTGGGAATTGATCCCCTGACCCTGAGATCATGACCTGAGCTGTACACCTAAAGTTGGACACTTAATCAGTGGAGCCATCTAGGTGCCTCTGGGATAATTAATTCTTAGATAATTTACCTTTTCCTTGAGTGGCGGGGAGCAGGGACTAGAGGCAGGGCTATCAGGTGGGGATGAGTCTACCTCCACTGGCTCTTCTTCTTTGATTTTGATGTCTGGTGTGGAAGGCAAAGACATGTCAAGGGGCCCAGCAGCAGCCTGTTAAAAGAGAGAAATAAGCATAGTTCAACCCCACGAGTCCCTACAGGCTGAATCAAAATCTTTCCAGTTAAAATACGAGGAAATATGCTTTCTCCCCCGCCCCCCGCCTTTTTTTAAAGTAGGCTCCACACCACGTACGGCTTGAACTCACAATCCTGAGATCAAGAGTTACATATTCTACTGACTGAGCCAGCCAAGTGCACTGAGGAAAAATACTTCAAAGTTCAGTCCTCAAAGAACTGAACTGCAAGTCAAAGAACTAGGGAACCTAGGTTTCATGTATAACTCTGGCCAGATCATTTTAACTTCTTTGAACTTGTTTTTCTTTTCTAAAAAAGAATCTCAAAAATCTTTTAGATTTTTCTTTTTTTTTTTTTTAATTTTTTTTTGTTTTGTTTTATTTATTTATGATAGGCACACAGTGAGAGAGAGAGGCAGAGACACAGGCAGAGGGAGAAGCAGGCTCCATACACCGGGAGCCCGACGTGGGATTCGATCCCGGGTCTCCAGGATCGCGCCCTGGGCCAAAGGCAGGCGCTAAACCGCTGCGCCACCCAGGGATCCCTCTTTTAGATTCTTCTAAAATCTTTTTTTTAAAGGTTTTATTTATTTGAGAAAGTGGGCAAGAACATGAGCAGGGGGAAGGGCAGAAGGAGAGAGAGAGATGCAGACTCCCTCCTGAGCAGGGAGCCGGATGTGGGGCTTGATCCCAGAACCCAGGGATCATGACTTGAGCCGAACGTGGCTGCTTAACAGACTGAGCTACACAGGCACCCCAGAACTTCTGTATTTCTAACTGTAAAATGGAAATAATGTGTGCTTCACTACAGTGATACTTATAAAGATCCTAAAAGGGAAAAAACAAAAACACAAAAAAACCCCACAACACTTATAATGTTTATAAAGACACTGAAAGACAAAAAAAAAAAAAAAAAGTCATTTAAATCCATGCAAATATTATAATTATACCATTTTTCAGGAAAGTAAAATGATTCCTGAATCCAGTGCTTGCCTATTTCCAACCAGCTCTGCTGGCCACTGGAGATCCGTGAGCACTTTTTCTAACAACCAGAAGGACTATTACCCAAGTATCAAAAGCAAACAAAGATAAATTAGCTATTGAAGTACTATAAATAAGATAGGAAAGATCTATTCTGGGGAACTTCCCATGCTTGATGGTGATTTCATCCCAAAATCTGGTGTTAGAGGCTAGAAGTTAGGAAGCTAGAGTTTTGGGATAATAAAGAAAAGAAAGGCTGGTCATTTGATCAGTTAAAGAAATTAGAACTTGGTCCTCGAAGCAGGACTGGGGAACACCAGAAAGGAGAGAGAATACTTTCCTGGCAGTGGTGAATCACTTCACAGAACTGTGGAGCCATAAATGGCTTTGCAGGGAACCATAAACCATCTGAGATGACGGCCCTGACACCACATCACGACAGGAGGGCTGGCACTGCAGTTTAGTTTCATGACAAGGTAGATCCTTTGTTCTATTTTTTCCTTATCTTAGGCTTCTTGGTGAAAGAGGAGCTTGTTTCTAACTCTCCCCTGGCTACCTTAATCCCTAGGAAATCTTGGTAGTTGAACAAACTGAAGATAATTTGGCATCTACTACATTAGAGAAGGTGGTAATGGTTCTTTCTCTCCAATCTGATGGGGGTGAGCAATGGCAAAGATGCTTTCATTTCTGCCCTCATTTTTCCTACATCATGGAGATGTTGGGCCCAATTCAGCTAATTCTGAGATCCCTGAGGTCAGAGGGTAGTAGGAAGGAGAGGCCTCTAAGTAAACAGAACCACAGGTTTAAAACCCCTTAGGGGCATCTCCTAGAAAAGCTGTGGTTCAGTGAAATTTTAGACTCAGTCAACATTCATGGACACAATCTTCTACTGAATCTGTTCTTCTCATCAAGGGGAGGGAAAGACCACCCTCGTACAGGCAGAAAGGAATACCGAGATGCCCAATGAGTAAAGGCCTGACCAACTACGAATGGCCTCCTAGAAGTGTCAACTGAGTTAAAATGTCAGTAGAAAAGACCTCAAGCTTTTTTTTTTTTTTTGACTTCAAGCTTTTAAAAGGAGGTTAATTTTCTTGAATTTGCCTATGAGTTTATTTTTTTATTTTTATTTTTTAAAGATTTTATTTATTTATTCATGAGAGACACACACACACACACACGAGAGAGAGAGAGAGAGAGAGAGAGAGAGAGAGAGGGGCAGAGACACAGGCAGAGGGAGAAGCAGGCTCCATGCAGGGAGCCTGATGTGGGACTCGATCCTGGGTCTCCAGCATCACGCCATGGGCTGAAGGTGGCGCTAAACCACTGGGCCAGCCACCTGGGCTGCCCTGAGTTTGATTTTAAAGCACTTGTGTTCTGGTGGAAACAATCTGACTGATTTCTTGGTCTACCGGAAAGGAGAAATAATGGTGGGGTGGGGTGGGGTGGCAGCGGGCGGGTAGGGAAGCTATAAAATAAAATTATACCATATAGGTTGAAGTCGCTGAGAGATGAGAGACTAGAGTCTCTAAAGAAAATAGTCATGAGGGATCCCTGGGTGGCTCAGAGCCTGAGCGCCTGCCTTCGGCCCAGGGCCTGATTCTGGAGTCCCAGGATCGATTCCCACATCAGGCTCCCTGCATGGAGCCTGCTTCTCGCTCTGCCTCTGTCTCTGCCTCTCTCTCTCTCTTTGTGTCTCTCATGAATAAATAAATAAATAAAATCTTTAAAAAAGAAAATAGTGATGAGAAGACTATGTCTAGGCCAGCCATTTGAAAGTAGAATTACAAATAGAAGCCATTGGATTTCCCTGCTTTCTTTCAGTTGGAGGGAGACAGCAGGAATCGAAGTTCAGAGGAAGCTATGAAACTTGGAAAAACCTCCAGTGATAAGGACACCTTATCTTGCATTCTTACAATTACAATTTAAGCTGGACCAAAAAACTCATGCACAACTCTCTTATTTATCTGCTCTCTTCTTCTTAAAAGGAAAGAGCTCAGAATATGAAGGGATTCTAACATTTTAATCCTCTACAATAACTATACTAAGTGGCCTAAATATAGTTGAACACCTTGTGATAGCTTCCACCTGCTGGTCCTATTTCTTCCCTCTTTCTTCTGGGCCAGAGAGTAGGTTTAACCCCTCTTTTACATGAAAACTCTTCACATGTTTGAAGACTACAATTTTGTTCACCTTAAAACTTCTCTTCCTCAGTTTCTTTATGTGTTCCCAAAGTGATGTAATTTCTAGTTCTTTTACCATCCTGGTTGATCTCCTTTGGAATGCATGAAGAATACCTTTCTTTAAGTTTAATGTCGTGAATATTATTAGAAAGCTACCTAAAGGTAAGAGCTAATTGAAACAAAGAAGTGTCAAAATTCAAGAAGAGTTTGTTGATTGGCTGACTCAGTGAAAACAGCCTAGGTGAAAAGTCTGATTAGCTCAGAAGAGAGTGAGAGATTTGACCCAAAAATATGTTATCTCACAGAATCTGAGTAATTCATAATCTTTTAACATCCTTAAGATACTCAGAAGAGATATAAATTTTTAAAAAAGAGATTACTGCAGACGCCTGGGTGGATCAGTGGTTGAGTGTATGCCTTTGGCTGGGGACATGATCCCAGAGTCCCAAGATCGAGTTCCACATCGGGCTTCCTGCATGGAGCCTGCTTCTCCCTCTGCCTGTGTCTCTGCCTCTCTCTCTCTCTGTGTGTCTCTCATGAATAAATAAATAAAATCTTAAAAAATAAAATAAAATAAAATAAAATAAAATATTTTAAAAAAAATAAAAAGGAGATTACTGAACTAATGCTCCACTGAAAGGGCAAGAAGCCTAATTTTTGGTAAAGACAGACTTGTGCTGATCTATCACCTGGACCTGAAGATGTGGAACACTGACTTGGATTAGTGGGAACTGTCTGGTTCTAAAGAATAGTCCATAATTTTGTGATCTAACTGATTAGGCAAATTATCCCAGGGCACAATGAAAATAGCCTCCATCTGAACACTAGTTTGTCAGCAAAAATCCCGCCTCTTGCCTTTTTTTCCTCCTCATCTGCAGCTTTCTTGAATTCATGTTCAAAGGAGCTAGCTAATTCATTGAAGAGCCCCACCTCCTCACAATTCTTCAGGAATCTAGTCGGAGTAGGAGTTTGATCTGCAGACATGGAAAAAAAAAAAAAAGGAAACTTTATTTTAGTTTTGACCTGAAATTAAAACTTGACAATATATAGAAAACACATTTTTATCTTTCTATTTGGAAAGAGTCTCTGTGTTAGGGCAAATTTGCTTTTATGGAGCTCGAGTAGGTGAAAGCCAGCGTAGGCCACCAGAGGGTGTCTGTGCTGTGCTGCCTCAAGGCCAGCAGAGGGAAGACAGAACAATGTTTTGTTGTGTGACTATCCCTGTAACCCCCTTTCTCCCAGAGGCTGGTTTCACCTCCCTCACCCCCAAACAAAACAAAAACCACCCACCCACATGGAGTTTGTGAAACCTCCAGATCTGAAAATCAAGAACAGTTAAGCGACATTTTCTCTTCAAACTTACTCCCTGCTAGGTCTGAAGTGAGCAGGTATAAGCAGATGGACGTTAAAATCTGATGAGGAGAAGAAACTGAGGATCAGATGGTTGAGTTTGCTTGCTAAAGCTACCAAATAAGAAATGGTGCCTTGTCTTTCAGTGGTCACTGAGGTAAGGGTCTGTTACCTTCTGAAGGCATTCCAGGCAAATCTAGGGGCTGGGGAACAAGACAGCAAGATCATGAGCTAGAAAAGGAAACTGCAAACAATAGAGCTCATTTCACAGAGACCTGGGCCCAGAGCAAATTCCGGAAACCAGGATATTTGGATTTAGATTTGCCAGCCAAAATATCCTTTCAGGGGCTGCACAAATCTTTCCTCAACAGTGCCTCTGCCCTTGGGAAGAGGAAGGCGATTGGTAACCCATGGGAACTTTTCGAGCAACTTGAATTTTAGATTTGAGCTCTTCTCTTCCCATTGTGCTTTTCTAGTTTATGTCTCTTAGGTCAGCTGAATCCTGTTCCCTGATTTAAATTGCTATTATGATGGTTTTCTTTGACATGCTAGTCACCTCAGGGATTCATTTCATACCCAAACCGCTAAACTGAATGACAGAAACAGAACTCTGTTTAAATGATGTTTTAAGGAGTGAGACCTGGGATTAAAATCGTTCCTTCTAGCATGATCGATTGGAAATAGTCCACTGGGATTTTCCATGGAAAGAGCATAATTTTTTTTTTTTAATTTAAACAAAACCTCTTCTGAGTCAGAGTGTTTAGAAAAGTTACCACTACCTCCCAAAATAGTTTTAAAAGGTCCTCTGGCAGCTTTGGTTGGCCAATGATGAAGCCACTTTCCCTCCATCCCCGGGTGAGTGGAGGTAACATCATCCTTTATGCTCAAGAGTACTTCAGTAAGGGCACACACAAAAAATCACAACTCATGTGAAACAGAACAGGGCAGCTAAGGGCATGGCAATGGCAGAAGAGGGCTTTTGCTTCTCTGACCTGAGACTTATATAAACTGCTCCCATTCCTGAACACCCAAACAGCCTGAAAATATAAAGAAAACCCTTAGCATGCTCTGATGATTCTAAAGAAATCAACAAGTATTTACTGAATACCCTCTAGATGTTTTGATGCTACATGCATGTACACTTGTGGGTAAATTTGAGGGAGGAGAGGGATAGAGTATAGGAGTTTTGCTCAAATACAAGACATGGCTTTTGCCCTAGAGAACAAAGAGAATGTTTTCTAGTTGAGGAAATAAACTTATATATATAGATAGCATCATAGTATAAAAAAAATAGGTGACATGTGCAGTAGAGAATAAATTTGTTGTAGTAATTAAATAAAGACAAATTAGGGATCCCTGGGTGGTGCAGCGGTTTGGCGCCTGCCTTTGGCCCAGGGCGCGATCCTGGAGACCCGGGATCGAATCCCACGTCGGGCTCCCGGTGCATGGAGCCTGCTTCTCCCTCTGCCTGTGTCTCTGCCTCTCTCTCTTTCTCCCTCTGTGACTATCATTAAAAAAAAATAAAAAATAAAAAAAAATAAAGACAAATTAATGGGACGTCTGGGTGGCTCAGTGGTTGAGCATCTGCCTTTGGCTTAGGGCGTGATCCCGGGGTCCTGGGATCAAGTTCTGCATCGAGCTCCCTGCAGGGAGCCTGCTTCTCCCTCTGCCTGTCTCTCTCTCGGTGTCTCTCATGAATAAATTAATAAAAATCTTAAAAAAGAAGACAAATTAATGACAGAATAGTTAGGAAGTTTCAAGAAGTGGGACTTGAGCTGGGCCTTAAAAAGTGGTTTTCACAGGACCCCTCAGTGACTCAGCGGTTGAGCGTCTGCGTTTGACTCAGGGCATGGTCCCAGGGTCCAGGATCGAGTCCCACATTGGGTTCCTGCAGGGAGCCTGCTTCTCCCTTTTTCTCTCTCTCTCTCATGAATAAAATCTCAAAAAAAAAAAAGAATGGTTTTCCCACTGGGAGAAAGCAGAGACGATTTGGAGGGTTAGGAATAAGGCAGGAAGAGGCACAGAGAAAGGCAAGGTATGGGGTCTGTGTATAGATGAGAAGGAAAGGGTATATTTTGGATAAAGATAATCAAATCAGGGGGAGCCTGGCAGGCTCAGTTAGTAGAGCATGTGACTTGAACCTAAGGTCATGAGTTCAAGGCCCATGGTGGGTGCAGAATCTACTTAAATTACAAAAGAAAGAAAAGAAAAAAGATAATCAAGTCAAGTATATGTTATAAACAAAGTTGGGTAGGTACCATCAGGCTAGAATATAGAAAGCTTGAGAGTCCAAGTATAAATAGCCTTGAAAATAAAAGAAAATAGGAAGATTAGCACAGATTTTTTAAAAATTTAAATTCAATTAACATACAGTATATTACCAGAGGCAAAGTTCAGTGATTCACCAGCTGTATATAACACCCCAGTGCTCATTACCTCATGTACCCTCCTTAATGCCCATCACCCAGTTATCCCATTCCACCAACTCCCTCCCCTCCAGCAATACTCAGTTTGTTTCCTACAATTAAGAGTCTCTTATGCTTTGAGTTTTGTTTGTTTGTTTTTTTAAATCTGTAGAGCATTTTATTTAGAGGGAGGTGGTTTTTTTTTTTAATTTTTTTTTTTTATTTATTTATGATAGTCACAGAGAGAGAAAGAGAGAGAGGCAGAGACATAGGCAGATGGAGAAGCAGGCTCCATGCAGCGGGAGCCCGATATGGGATTCGATCCCGGGTCTCCAGGATCGCGCCCTGGGCCAAAGGCAGGCGCCAAACCGCTGCGCCACCCAGGGATCCCGGGAGGTGGTTTTTTTAAAAAAAAATTTAAAGTAAACTCTATCCCCAAGGTGGGGTTTGAACTCACGACCCTGAGATCAAGAGTTTCATGTTCTACCAACTGAGCCAGAGAGCCAGGTGCCCCAGATTAGGACAGATTTTGAGCAAAGCAGAAGAATTTAAGAAGACAGGCTTTTCAAGAGAATGCAAGACAGATTAGAATAAGAGACCAGTCAAGGAAGCCAGCCAGGACACTTTGGAGAAACCCAAGCATAATGAGAGTGGTGGAAGGAACAGAATGGGAAGAAAGAATAAATCAACTCAACATTTTTTTTTTTAAAGAACTCAAGGTTTGGAGAATACGGATATAATATATCACTGAATAACAAGAAGAAGAAGGTCTAGGGGACAAGAAGAGAAGTTCAGAATTGGGGTGTGGCAGGGGGGCATGAAGATATGAATGACAGAAGACAGCCAAGTAAATGTTCAATAAGGGATTGGAGTACATGTCGGACACCAAATCTTAATTTAGAGAAATGAGAATTACCAGCCTCGACAGGATAACTGGAGTCATGTGCAATGAGATGAGCACTCCAGAACAGAATGCAAAGAATAACAGGAAAATACTTTCTCTCTTTGGGACTATCCTGTATCAATTTCTCTCACCACTCCTGGAGTCTTGGCATTGGCATAGACCTTTCCACTCATCTGAAATAGCGTTTCCAACCTGATAACTTTGCCTCAACTGTACTTTTTTCATAAACTTTCTCTAATTGTAGTTAATATTCATTCTCTTAATATTTATATTGTTTGAATTATTCACTTGTACTTGACTGCAAACTCTTAAAATTTTTTTCATGCATATATGCCTTGACTTAATATATTTAAGTATGGGGTCCAAGTCCCTGCTCCGCTGTGTCGGGTATACTTGGACCCAAGCTCAAGCTTGTAAATAAACCCTCGTGTGCTTGCAAAAAAAAAATAAATAAATAATATATATATATATATATATATATATATATATTTAAGTATGTGTTACCTATGTATATTTTTATACCATATGCACTCTTCCCTAAAACTTCCTCCAAGTTTTCTTAAGGATCATCAATGACAATGTCCCCACTCATGTCCTTTTCTAGGAATTATAATCTACAAGCTCCTAGCAAAGTAGCTGGTGGATACAATAGCTATTCAATAAATATTTACTGAATTAATAAGGATTAAGAGATCTGTAAGGGCAAGTTCCTTTCTTCACATATAAAAGTATGGAGAGGGGAGTTTCCCTCTTCACTATATCTTGGGTTGCATTTGGCTAGTAATAATTACAAAAATTGTGTCTTATGTGAGTTATTAACTAATGTAATAACCACCAACTAAATCCCTTATTGGCTAAATTCTGTGGTAAGCTTGCTTAACTCAGGCTAAATCAGAACCCCTCATAGTATCAAAAGAAAAGGCCCACTTTGTTTTGTATGTCTGCCTAGCTGAAAATGGCACAACAGAACTGCTGCACAATTTGAGAGCAGTTGCTGAGAATGCTCCCCTGAGAATGGCACATGTAAGCAAGACAGTATCTAAAACAACCGGCAAGAGGTTCCAGGTCACCCAAGTTGGCTTAGAAAAGTCCCATTGACTAAACGCCTTGTTTGAGCTTTGGAAATGTGCCCTCAATACTGTCTGGGTTCATAAGGCAAGTTGAATTTATGAACTGACAATCTGCCTGCTTGGGGGAAACTGACACCCAGTGGAAGAGAAGCAGCCAGGCTAGGTCGGCTTTCTTGCTTTCTTTTGTTCACCCCTTCACTGTGGATAGGGAGAATGTCAAAGGCATCTTTTGTCTGTAAATCTTCCAAAGTCTTAAAAAAAGAAGGCAAGGAGGGAATAGACTGAAAAAAGCCAAGACAAAACCTCAACACACCTACCCTCAAAAACCACAGAACCCAATCTTGTATTAAAAACAGAATGGAGGGCACAATAGAAACTTGGGAGCTTTTAGTGTTCCTTTTTCCTGATTAAATGCAGATCACATAAGGACTCTTAATGGGAAAAGGGGAGTATAGCTCCCAGTACATCTGGTCCCTGGTATTAATCTTAACTGTCTGGTGATACCAAGGCACGTGGCTTCTGGGGCAGCAAATACCTGCAATGATGACTGAGTCAGTTCGGGCTGGGCCAAATTTCAATGTCATCTCATGCTTGTGTTTATGAACTGCCAGGTGGTCCTCGTTTGTAAATCTCTGAAACGAAACAGAAACAGGGATGTGAAAAAAAAAAAAGCGATTTGGTGCCCTTTTAAAATGTCCTATTAAACATCCTGCGATAAGGATGGGCCCTGGACAGAGGGGCTGGAGAGGGAATGGAAAGGAGAAAAAACTGGAAGTGATAGAAAAGGAGAGGATTTGGGTTAAAGGAGAAAATGGAGAAGGAGAAAGAGACACTAGAAAACTGGAGGAAAGGAGAAGAGGAGGGCCTCAGCACCAACTGCTCTGTGGTATCAGGTCCAAATGAGAGAAGTGGACAGATTGCTGGTGAAGTGGGGTCTAGGCAGGAGGCTCCAAATGAAAAAAACATTTAGGCGAGGCTCGTAGCAAACAAGGGGAAAATAATTTTTAATAATAATAATAAAGAGAGAAGAAGAGAAAGGCTGAACACTCGTTGGTCATCACAAAAATAGGAAATTCAGAATGAACCTCTCCGTGGTGGGGCTGAATTGGACTATTTATGAGGGGGCTAACAGGGAGATAAATTATGCAGGATTAGGAGAACCATTTAACTTCCTGGCCCCCACAGTGCTGCAGCAGGCGCCTGCCCAGCTATTTGGCTCAGGGTTTTAATGAGCCAGGATGGAGCTGTAGAGGACAGAGACCCAATGGCCAGCAGTAATGGCACACACCAGCCCCATCGGCCAAATGCTGTCTCCCCTCATCGGGCAGCTCGCCTGGGCTCCGTCAGCCATAAAGAGGCCAGTGCAATGCTGCTGGCTATATAATGACAGAATAAAAATGCAAGCAAAAAAATTTTTGTTAGGGTAGAGAGAAGCCTGTAGGCGGGATGAGGGAAGGGAAAAGAAGATGGTAGAGAGGTTTCATTTATTTAGGGGTTTGGTTGAAAGGACAATGAAAAGGTGAGGCTGGGTCAGCCTCAGTTTATGACATGTAAGACAGGGTTACTTGGACAGTAATTTATGCTCCCACCCCTTCTTCAGAGCGCGGGAGGTAAAGAGAACAGATGAACAGCAGTAATTCAAAAGAATGATACCCTCAAAATTCCCTTTGAGGCTGGCTGGCCTGGTTCCTTCATTAAAACATGCCTGCAACACAGGAACAGCTTGGATGCTGCAGCTTCCCACAGCTCCCTCACCAGCCAGCCTCTGAAACATGCTTCTATTTGTCTTTTTGTTTCTAAAAATAATGACTGGTTAGTTCCCTCTTTTTACTTTCCTCATTAGATACATATATACTTCCCACCAAACACTATACCTTTAGCTCTTTTCCCACAGTGCTTCTTGACTGCAAACCAGACAGGAGCTAGCCCCACCCACCCCGGCTCCTTTCCAGTTCCAACACTGAACTTCAGTTTAAGTTCCTTTATTTTATCTAAAAGTATTTTATTTAACCAGGTAACCTCCCTCAAATTTGTTCTGAGGCCTATCACCACTAAAGCTAGCTTAAGGTGTAAAATCCTTCCAGGCCAGACCTATAGTCCTGAAGGGAAAAGTGGATTTTCAATTACAAGTATGAAGAACCAAAAAGTAAAACTGTCAAAAAAACTGCCTGAGTGGTTTCTGATGGCTCCAGGATAAAGCTGGAAAAAGTGTGCTGGAATTTAGCCAAGAACTTTAGTTTTCTCTATTGTTGGTTAACACTAGGCATCAACTGTTTCCTTCACAGATTTCTCCCTAAGGAAAAAAGGGGAGGCAGTGAAGAAATGAAGAGAACAGCCTGTTAAGCAGGGCTATGATATCTGTGGGTTAGGTAAGTCACTGTTGAGGTTCTGGGATTGCCAGGTATTCCGTAAGAGGAAGTGAGCAGAATCTCGTCTACAGTAAAGAACCATCACTTCAAGGGAAGAAGAAGAGAAGTGGATTAGGCAGAGGTATACATTTCAAAACATATTGGTGATGTTCTAACCACCTTTTTCAAGAAGATATTTATAAGTACACCAAGGATATTTCATATAGGTAGCCTGAAAACTTTGCACAATGTTCTAGGATCTAGAAGAATGACTTTTTTTTAACCTTTTTTTTAATTTTTATTTATTTATGATAGTCACACACAGATATAGAGAGAGGCAAGGCAGAGACACAGGCAGAGGGAGAAGCAGGCTCCATGCACCGGGAGCCCGACGTGGGACTCGATCCTGGGTCTCCAGGATTGCGCCCTGGGCCAAAGGCAGGCGCTAAACCGCTGCGCCACCCAGGGTTCCCAGAAGAATGACTTTTAAGCAAAGTCCTTTTCCACTATCAAAAAGCAAGTCTGCTTGGGCACCTGGGGGGGCTCAGCAGTGTAGCGTCTGCCTTGGGCCCAGGGCGTGATCCTGGAGTCCCAGGATTGAGTCCCATGGTGGGCTCCCTGCAGGGAGCCTGTTCTCCCTCTGTCTGTGTCTCTGCCTCTTCTGGGTCTCTCATGAATATGTAAATAAAATCTTAAAAAAAAAAAATCAAGTCTGCTCAAAACTGAGCTGAGAGAAAGACTTAAAAACTCCATCAGGTTTTTCTCTGGTTAGGATCACTTAATATTTTACTTCACATAGGGGCGCCTGGGTGGCACAGTCGGTTAAGTAGTAGACTCTTGGTTTCAACTCACGTCATGATCTTGGGGTGGTGAGAATGAGCCTCATGCCAGGCTCCAAACTCAGCGTGGAGTCTGCTTGAGTTTCTCTCCCTCTCCTGCTCATGCTCTCTAAAATAAATAAACCTTTAGGGACATGGGGGGACCACCCAGGCACCCTAAAAATTTTTTTGAAGGCAACTCCTCCTGAGGCACCTGGGTGGCTTAGTTAAGTGTCCGCTTTCAGCTCAGGTCATGATCTGGGGAGTCCCGGGATTGAGCCCCACACCAGGCTTCCTGCTCAGTGGGGAGCCTGCTTCTTCCTTTCCCTCTGCTGCTCCCCCTGCTGTACTATCTCTGTCAAATAAATAAATAAAATATTAAAAAAAAAAAAAGGCAATTCCCTGTTATAATTTTGCTACAAAGTCCCAACTTGTCTTATCTGTCTCTAGTTCTAGTTCCTCTCTGCTGCACACCCCTGGACTGCACTCCCTTCCAAAATGCCCTGATCCCTGTTGAACTATTAATTTTTTACCAATCAAAAACTGGGACCTGGGGCACCTGGGTGGCACAGTGGTTGAGTGTCTGCCTTTGGCTCAGGTTGTGATCCTGGGGTCCTGGGATCAAGTCCCACATTGGGCTCCCTGAGGGAAGTCTCCTTCTCCCTCTGCCTGTGTCTCCACCTCTCTCTGGGTGTCTCTCATGAATACATAAAATCTTAAAAAAATAATAAAAAAATTTTAAAAAGGGATCACACATATCTTCTCATCATATATATCAAAATGTTTTTTTTTAAGATCTTATGTATTTATTAGAGACACACAGAGAGAGAGAAAGAGAGAAAGAGAGGCAGAGACACAGGCAGAGGGAGAAGCAGGCTCTATCTGAAGGCGGCGCTAAACTGCTAAGCCACTGGGGCTGCCCTCAAAATGTTCTTTATACTCAACGCTACTTTGAAACTATGGGAGTCACAAGATCTACTGCTAGAACTTGTTATTTAATGCATCAATAAAAAAGAACACACATGACATTACCAAATTAAAAAAAAATTATATCTTTTAGATTTTATTTATTTATTTGAGAAAGAGGCAAAGTTAGTGTCAAAGATAGCAAAAGAGAGCACAAATGGGGAGGAGAGAGAGAAGCAGGCTACCCACTGAGCAGGGAGCCTGATGTAGGGCTCAATCCCAGGACCCTGGGATCATGGTGCTTAGACTGATGCTTAACTGACTGAGCCACCCAGGCGCCCCTATCAAATATTTTTAAAACATTTTTGGTAACTGGGATCCCTGAGTGGCGCAGCGGTTTAGCGCCTGCCTTTGGCCCAGGGCGCGATCCTGGAGACCCGGGATCGAATCCCACATCGGGCTCCCGGTGCGTGGAGCCTGCTTCTCCCTCTGCCTATGTCTCTGCCTCTCTCTCTCTCTCTCTCTCTCTCTCTCTCTCTCTCTGACTATCATAAATAAATAAAAAAAAATTAAAAAAAACATTTTTGGTAACTGTATTTCAAAATAATTGATTTCCTTTATAATTCTATGTATTTAACTTTATTAACTTAAAAGCAATATCCTAGGGATCCCTGGGTGGCGCAGCGGTTTGGCGCCTGCCTTTGGCCTGGGGCGCGATCCTGGAGACCCAGGATCGAGTCCCACTTTGGGCTCCCGGTGCATGGAGCCTGCTTCTCCCTCTGTCTGTGTCTCTGCCTCTTTCTCTCTCTCTCGTGTGACTATCATAAATAAAAATTTTTTTTAAAAAAAGCAATATCCTGAAAAAAATTAAAAAATAATATTCTGAGAAGGGATTCACAGGCTTCACCAATCTGCTAACGGAGGTCACAATACCACAAAAGTTAAGAATCCCTGACTAAATGAGGTAGTGAGCTTCCAAGGAGGAGGCAAATGGGCAGAGCACTGTCCTGGTCTTGGCTCCAGTCATCTCTCCCTAGAGTTTCTCTTTCATTTTTTTTTAAAGACTTATTTATTTATTTATTCATTCATTCATTCATTCATTCATTCATTCATTCATTCGAGACAGAGAGAGATAGAAGGGCAGAGACATAGGCAGGAGGAGAAGCAGGCTCCATGCAAGGAGCCCTATGCGGGACTCTATCCAAAACCCCAGATCATGCCCTGAGCCAAAGGCAGATGCTCAACTGCTGAGCCACCCAGGCATCCCACTCTCATTTTTTTTAAAAAAAGATTTTATTTATTTGAGAGACAGAGGAAGCATGAACAAGCAGCAGGGGGAAGGGCAGAGGGAAAGAGAGAACCTCAAGCATACTCCAGGGTAAGCAGAGAGCTCAACTTGGGGCCTGATCTCATGACCATGTGATCATGACTTGAGCTGAAAACAAAAGTCAGAAGCTTAGCCCTGAGCCACCCATGAGCCTCTCTCCCTATAATTTCTAGTATAATTTTTATATGGCTAGAGTAGGAAGGGGGAGAGTAAAAGTATACTAAACTTTTTAT